TGAGTCTCTACACAGTCTCCGGAACTTTTGGATACTCGCCGACGTATTCCGACAGTGAGACTCAAAACCCTCACGGCAAAACTGCATGCTAGCCTGAAGAGAGACCGCAAATCCTGGTGGTCTCGTCGTTCATCGGCGATGGAAGTGGTGGCTGCCGTTGGTAACCATCGTTATTTAATCCGTATGATACGGGAAACGAACAGCAGTAAACCTGGTTAGGGAGACCATACGCGACGATAATAGACAGCCGATGCGCAGTCTTTCAAAACGGTTAGAGCGCTGGACAGTTCCGTCAGTCTGAGTTGTCAGCTTCTCCTCCGGCTATTGATCGCCCTTCTCCCTGGGCCTTCCCTCTCGATCCACCTTCAGCACAAAGATCGAACGTGAGATCAGACGGTTGAAATTGAACAAGGCTACCGGAGTAAATGAACTTCACCCAGCTCTCTTCAAATTTGAGGGACCTGATCTTTTAGATGATTTTCGTAAGGCATTAGGGAATCTATGGGAGCAGGAGACTATCCCAACAGACTGGAGCCACTCCGTCGTAGTCCCAGTTTTTAAGAGAGTCTCTTTCGGAATGCAACAGTCATAGAGGGATCAGTCTGATCTGTATTGCCTCTAAATTGCTTGCGCCTGTCTTTCTCCACACACTGATTGGAACTCGTGAAAGTCAGCTTTTCGAGGAGCAAGCCGGGTTTCATCGAAATCGAGGCTGCATCGACCACATCTTTACTTTACCTCAATTCTTGGAACACCGCTATATTTATATGCGACTTACCGTAATCGTGTTTCTTGACATCAAAGGTGCCTTTTATTCGGTTGATCGACATGCCCTTTGGGACTGTCTACTTAGGAAACATGTGTTCGAAAATGCGTAACCATGGGCAGAGCGCTGTACGCGCATAGTTCAAGAAGAGTGGGTTTATGACAAATTGTCACCGCCCTACAATATCTCCAGCGGTGTGAGACAAGGTTGCCACTTGTCACCTTCACAATTTAACTTCGCCATTGCCGAAGTCATAGAAACAGCGTTCGCTGGACACGACCTACAGCGTGGAAGCTATGTCTTGGTGAGCGACTTCTTGACTTGGACTATGCGGACGACATTGCCCTAATCTGTGACAGCTTCCAAACTTGTTAAGTAGCACTGGACCGATTAGCGCTGGTTGTCGATTGTTTTGGCTACGTTTTGCTCCCTCGAATTTCAAAGTCCTTCATGATTGCTAGGGACCCATCCCAGCGCTGACATTTGGTGGTGATCAGGTGGAAGTCATTAAGCAATTCAAGTACCTGGGTAGCTATATTATCGCCCGTGGGATTAAAGATGAGGTCACGAACCGTATAGCAAATGCTGTAGGTACTTTTGCCAATGGCGGCCACCTGAGGCGCCGACGCGACGTCACTCTCTCTCTCTCTCTCTCTCTCTGTCTCTCTGAAGAGCAGAGTCTCTAATGCAGCCGTCCTTTCAACCCTCCTATATGCTTGTGAAGCCTGGCCCATCAGGTTGACAGACATAAAGAGGCTAATTACGTTCGGCCGCTGTCTTCGCTGTTTAGCTCATGTCTGGTGGGAGAACCGCTTGAGCAGTAAATGTGTTCGGCGTCTGGTATTCGGTGTAGGAAATAGTGAGTAATCCACTCAGCACCGTTATTTCACGCACCAGGCTTCGATGGCTAGGCGACGCGTTGCGCATGCCAGCTCACCGACTCCCGCGACGTGCGTTGTTTCCGCGCCCGGGCTCTGGATGGAAAGGAAAGAGGGGAGGCCAAGCGATGACTTGGTCGAGAGGGATGAAAACACACTTCAATGTTGGCGTCGGTCGGTGCATCCCGACTGTCGGGCTGGAGTCCCAAGGACGATGAAATCGCTTGGTTAGGCACACTAGATAATATGGCGAAGAGCCGACCTCTTTGGCGTTGGTGTTGTGAGATTTTTGTCCATCCGTCTCTCCTTTACATTCCCCTCCAATTATGACCTCAGCAAATGAATACTATGACACTTCACCTTATTTTACTTGATTTTTAATTTTTTGTAGTGTAATTTGTGGTGTCTTCTCTTTTTTCCATTACGTACATTAGCTGAGGTGTGATACCCACCCTCAGCTAACTTGTATTGATGATATTGTTGATTTCGTACTCGAGATGAATATCGACAAAATGCCAAAATTAAAAGGAATGATTTGCTTACTATTTATGAACAGGTTACTGTAGACATAAATTATCGTCGCATTAATGAATGTTGCATCTATTTTGTCATACTTTGAACACTGTACTCCATCATTCGCTTATACCCTGAACCAGTGATCAGTGAGTGTGGAAAGCCTTATTCTTTACTGTCGAAACCTTAGCGCGGCTGCCGTTATGATGCGTTGGCCTGTTTGTAACAATACAGTGCAGAAACAACTCTGTAGGCTTTGACTATGTGAGGCACCAGTAGAAATCACTGTGATGAGAAACCTAATTAAAAGAGATTTAACCCGCATGGGTCCTCTGAATCAGTATGAATCTGCAATGACATAAAGAAGAGTGCGCTTGCAAAACAATCCAAATGCGAGTCTACGGAGGCGATTGCACTTGGAAGACACATTGTAGCATTCCGTTCGACAGGCAGATGAGTATTTGTGGTGAAGCGAAAAAGTGGTGGCCGGGCCGCTGGTACCCAACGGCCCCAAAGACTGTTTGCATTTGTAATTAATGTATCTTGCAACCGTGTTCGCAAAATGTAGTTGAAGTAGCCCGTTGTGAAGAATGCGGTGTTGGATGAATCTTGGCTTTTAAACGGGCTCAGCCTTCTCGTTTTGGAGTAGTTTTGGTGGTGGTCGAAATCGGAGCAGAGGCGAGATGGGACTCTATCCGATCCTGCCAAATCACACATGTTACCATTCGCGCTAGGTAATTCCCACAGTCAAGTAGTGGAGATACATGCATTCTCGTCAAAAGTGTTGAAGATGTTTTTACTGTTTTACTGCACACTCGTTAACTTCAACTTAGGGGCCAATAGCAACAGATTGTGTCCGTATCCTCACTCGTCGATATTGGGATCTTGCTGATGACACGCATGCTCTCAATAGGCACCTCTGGGTCTATTTTACGGGACGGCCTTCGGGGATGTGCCTTTTCATGTGCGTAACACAGCACCATCAAAATTGCTAGACGACACGATATTCTGGACCCTATAAATGACCATCGGTTACGGTGGAGGGGCTCACCATTACAAGGTTGTCAATCTATTTGGAGCACCTACTCGTCCCCAACTTGCGTAGTCCTTTTCTCCATGCTCTCAGAAAAGCACCCAGCTTACTCGCGCCGGAAACTCGCATCCCTCGACTCATCATTGATAAAACTAGTGCGCATATCGACTGCTGCTGTAAAATGAGTGAACTAATTGGTGTTTGGAGTAGATAACTCCAGGGCACCATGAGTAGAGTAGGTTTTCGTTTTCGTTTGTTGACCTTTGATAAAAACCGTGCAATTCTTGTGATTTCCTCACTAGTGAGGAAGAGCCCCTGCCGATTCTGTTAGAGCTTATTGACCGGTAGGTTACATAGTTATGCGGAAGCCACGACGCTATGCTTTCCGATGTCTTCAGGGCAATGAGGGAGTCTCGCTGTGAGCCATACAAGAAGTCCCTTGACGATACCTTGATAACCGCGTCATCCTTAGTGATTGCACAGTCTCTTCTCAATGGTGTGAATACTACACACTCAAATGACTGCTTAACCTGTGAAGTCTAGGGCGACAACCGTCTACCCTTTTGAGTGTACTATTGACGAGATAAGAAGATAGCAGGAAGCAGCGTCCTGTTTACTGGAAAGCTACGTGTACCATTTCGTAAGAACACTGGTAATTTCACACCGCTTAAATACAAACGTTGCGTTAAGATATTATTGAATCAGGCCCGCAAAATATACAGTATGGGATGCATTGGAACTGAGTTGCAATTTATCACGCGAACTTTACAGGCAAACGGCTACCCGGAAGCATTTACGAGCTTTCATAGCCACACCGTTGAACGGGAAAATCCCGTCATTCCGCATCAAAAATGCCTGTTTATCTACTTCAGTCCTTCAAAGGTGATATTGTGGCTAGGCAAGTAAAACGACACACAACAGTTGCAATACGACGTGCATTAAATGCTGCTAATTTCTTCCCTCTTTGGGCGACCGAGGGCTGCTATTGCCTCCAATCAAGCCTACTCAGCCGTTCTTCGCCACACCGCAGTGCATTTATCTCTTAGTTTGTAACTGCGCCGACTGTTACATCTGCAGAACAGGCCGTTGCCCGTGTAAGCAGATTGGCGAGCACATCCCAAAGCGTATCATCATCATGACTAGACAATCACAATCGATCGCTAAGCACCTGATCAAAACAGGTCATCAAGTCGACCCCATCTTGGAGTTTATTGTCATCGGCGTCATCCAACACTGCATCCAGAGGCAACTGTGATATGTTCCTAACTTGTAGCCCGCTTTTACTTTCATTTGCACGCGAGTTTCCGATTTCAAATTATTGATTTTTGTTGCGTTGATATCTTCTTACTGTGTGTTTACATTATTATATCGTCAATGATTAGTGGACCATGCACTTGCTTTTCAAGCTCTACGCCTTGGATTTTAACGGTCTCACTTTCATGGATTTAGGCGCCTCTTTAACATCCCAGCCCACACATAGACGTCTGCGATTGCATGTCAACTAAGCATCAGTACAAAGTGCTGGTGTGCAACTGATTCCCTTTCCTTACTAACTTTACTGTTTATATTGGTCATGGTAACTGGATGCACGGCATCTTACTCATGATTGCATGACAGTCCTTGTGGATATTATCCTCTTAGTACTCATGTTTACTTAGAGCCCTTAAGCCATATGCGATTCACTAGCCTCACTGCCCTGCGGACCCATTCGCTAAAGCAAGATTTAGGTTTTGATTGTTGATTTTATCCACCCACTTCAAGATTGACGCACTAGGGTTCACTGTAACACCCTTTTGCTCCTTTTTCTCAGCTGGCTACGTAGATCCCCTTCATAGTCTGAATTCGTCAACAGCTGAGCTCGATGTGATTGTCAGCTTGGCAATGGCAGCTGTTTCGGCTCCCGGGGGCCAATATGTTCGCCCGAATATCCTTCCGCGATCTTCAGGTCGAATTATCTTTAAAGCTTTACGCCATCCCTGCCTGGAACTTCAAGATGCTGTCTCTGTTATTCCAAACGATGTTCACCTTGAACGAGGTATGTGTCGAAGTGAACATTTCCCATCTGTGCGAGGATAGTTATGTGCTCAACTTCATGTCTTGGATTTTGTATAAAAATTTTTGTAAGCATCTTTTTCATCGTTGCGCACTTTATCCGTGTTTGACTAAGCAATGATGGACCGATGCACCATTCCATTCCTTTTCTATCTTAAGAGGTTTTTCTGCTTTACCGCACCATTGACTTTCATTCAGTGCATTCTTGACTACGACTCAACTAGTACTTGTGCCCCCACAGCCGTGTGCTTGAGCGCTTAACTTCTGCGGACTTGTTTGTGTCACCACATATCCCCTCGACTTTTCTCAATATGCGAATCAGCCGAATCTCGTACTGTGTAATGATGTGGTCTGCCCTTGTGGTAGAACAAATAGACACCTCAGTCGTTTCTTTGTGTTTCAGGACCACGCGTTTTTCTCACCCGGATATACCTACTCTTGGATACTGTGCTCATTAATGGAGTATTCACAGGCCCTAAGTTACTTGTGATCCCCACTTGCATCCCTTTCGGTCATGTTCCTTCGGGTTGCGTGTGTGTGTGTGGTACAGCGCAAAACACCCACAGTCCCGCCGTAGGCGCTGATCCTCCACTAGCTGTTCCCGGTTGTTGTTGTTGTTGTTGTTGTTGTTACAGCTAATCACTTTTTTTCGTGTCTCGGCTGTACGACTGTTCAATTTTAGATGCTGTGTGCATTGATTTTTTATATTTGATTTACCGTGACTATGCCAAATATGCACTAGATTCTTTGATTTGGTATGTTGCTTTTTTTCCATTGGGTTCATGGCTACCAGTTTAATAATAATGACATTACTTGTTATTATTAGTATAATTCAGTGACTATTGCTATCGCTTTACTATTTTTTGTTCAAAATGCCTGTATCTGCGTTAGGTCGCTAAAGGTCTCCAAACTATGTATGGGGTTTGCATTTTTTAGGAATGGATGAAGCACTGTTGGTGTGACTATGCAGGCAAATGATGCTACAATTGTTGCCAGTATATTTTTATTTTGAAACAAAACTTTTGTTCTGAGCTCCTAATATTTGCTCTTTTAGTTAGTTTTCTGATTTGCAGAACAACGGGTCCGGTTGGGAAACGACTTTAGGGTACCGATTTCGAATTCTTCCCCTCAGGATTTGTGACTTAATCTGAAGCGACACCGGCTTTCCTTTGACCTCATCAGCTATTTGTATAAACTTTCCAACAATGATTGAGCGCTCGGTGCATTCCGTCGCGAATCTCACTTAATGGCATGTCAACATTTCTCAGCTGTCTTCATGTTAATGTCACGACCTTTCTTATGCATTTTCTCTCATGATGAGGTGCTCATCTGGCAACCCTTTATCGATCTTTTCATTTGTATGATTCATGCACTAAAACATTTTTGCCAAATCATTCACCATTCCTGAACGTCACAGGAATGGTGAATTATTTGGCAAAAATTTTGTTTAAAGCATTGTTCCCCGTATCAGTCTAAACAAAACATTAAGAAGACGAGCACTGCAAGATGGCACCATTTCGTGTTATATGGTCAATTGCAAACTAACAGCATATCTAGATCACGTGAGGGGAGAAAGCGATCATTTTGAATTGGTAGCGATGGGGCAACGATCATGAACCCCAAGGAAGTTTAAGGGCTACTGTCAATTACTTTCGCACACGAATTGGGATGGTAACGATTTAGGTACACAGCTTCGGCAAACTTCAGCACCCTGGCGTTTTCGTTTCGGTGGATAACCGTAAAATTTGATGACCTGTACTGATTAGGTGTCTAGCGACGGATGTTGCCAGCAGCTTACATGCAGCTCCTTGTCCGGTTGCTTGTTGGGCCATCAGCTCAGCAATTCGCTTCTGAATATGCTTTCCAATCCGCTTAATCAGACAACGATCAGTTCTGCCAATGTAACTGTGGCCCTTAAACTTCCTTGGGGTTCATGACCTATGTCTGAGCACTACCAGCTACTGTTTTGCCTTTGTGTGCATTTTTCTGACTAGTTCAAAACGATCGCTTTCTTCCCTTACGTGATCTATATATATATATATATTGTTAGTTTGCATATGATGAGGCAAAACGAAATGGTGCCAGCTTGCAGTGCTCGTCTTTTTAATGTTTTGTTCAGAGACTTGTATTGTCCAAGATCGAGCGCTGCTTTCTGGTTTATTACCGGTTTATCGCCGTTTCGCTCTTTAGGTTTGAACTACCTGCGTTTGCGCACTTGTCATTACCTGGGGATCTTTTTTATACCGTTAAGGGTTCACTTTCTTACATGTGACTCGTTTAAAGAATGTAACTTTATTGTTCTTTGTATATCTGTGCTGCTCTTCTTCACTAAATTCTTCCGCCACGTTACAATTTCTGTCTAGAAAAGCAAACGTTTCTCATAATCACCGGTCCGAACATGGGCGGAAAGTCAACATACATTCGAGCAGTAAGTTGCAGACATCTTTGAACTTCCCTGTTTACTCCAAGTTCCTAATCATTTTTCACTAGGCGTGATTCTTATTTTATTCGCCCATACTCCCCGCTTCGTTCACTGCGGACTCTCATCTCTATCATCACCTATCTCGTTGCTACCGTCCTTGATTTGGTTGCTCGTTTGATAATCATTTATCTCGCTTGTGCTTAATCATTATCTCTTTCACCGTTATCTTTGTCGCTATCTTCTAACCTTGCTCGCACATTATGACCGGTATTTCTCACTACTAGTTTTTCTCCCTAGATTTTGAACATACATGCTAAGGTTACTTTAGCCAATGACTAGCCTTAAAGAACACCTTTGCTTTTGAACGTTTAATAAGTTCACATCGATCCACCAGGTTTCATTTCCCAGTGTCCTTGCGTATTCTGTTTTAGCAGCAACCTACGCTTGTTCGTCCAATTCATCTGTTGCCTCTTGGGACACTATATTACCCTTCCTGTTTGGGCTTCCGCCACCCACTGTCCATTGACCATCTTTGTGGTTTTTACACTGTACATTGGTGGCGTTAACACCCGCGTTTGCATGGTTGGAGATGAAGCATTAATCATTTCAGCAACGATCTCAAGGAATTGGGACACCTCCCGTAATGGCTATGGTGTCTACGCGCCTGTTTGTCTATCGATTATTGTCGAAGCTTTTCTTATGACAGCATCACGGTGAGACTAGGTAATTGTGACCAGTATGATTACTTGACAAATAAATTGAGTAATGTAGTCCAGATAAGCCCCACTAGCTTTATTGAATTCACCGAGACACCCATTGTAGGCTTTTGCCTTGCTTCGGAGTTCGCGGTGGATTTTCGAACAAGAAGCAACTTCCTGAGTCCCCTCTCCTATAACAAGCACCACCCCAGTTGTCCAACAAAATGGATCAAATGGCGATTGGATTGTCAAGTTTGGACTACACGTTGTGTGATTGGATTGCGACGCGCAGTCTCAATGTTTTGGACCGCGATTCACATTGATGTGAACCTTAGTCACTGCGATCACTGTGCCCGTAGTCAAAGCAGATGGAAACTGGGTGTTGTGCAGTGTTTACTGGCGGGCAACACCCAGTTTTCACCTTCATTAAATGATGCTTTCAAGCCAATGTAGGCCACTGCTGTGGGTCACTTGTGCACAGGTTGATTTTACAGTTCCTGACGAAGTATAAGTATGTCGACAGTGCGTCTCCCATCATGGCGGTCCTCACACCAAGTGATACGTCCCAAGTGTATTCACAGCCGCTATAGGTCAATGGCTCAAGTCTACCTAAACCAATCTAAGCATCCTCTCTATGGGCGCGTCTTCGATATAAGTTTTATGCATCCAATCGGCCTTTTTCAATATTTACACTACCACTTCCCTTTACGAACTCTAAAAGTGCAAGAAGGAAAAACATTTCACTTGGCGGGATATCTTGAATTCACTATATTTCGCGTATTCTCATTCGGCCGCATATAGACTAATAGTGAAAACTTTAAACGTAAGGAAGTGAAAAGGAATCAATACCAAGAATCGATAATCGGCGAAAGTGGCAGTGCCTCTATAGGAAAAATCACCTTATCACGGCAGCGCAAGAATAGTCACAAGTTTTGGCACAATGCACAGTCGAACAAGTGCCTCGCAATTGAGCTAGCAGGTAGTTTCTCACCAGTCAAGGCCAGATTGCGCGGAATGTGCTCCGAAATCCGAGTTGACAACCTTCTCTCAGTGCGACCGATGTACATGCTAGCGCATTTACAGTTTAACTGGTAGACGCAGGTGGCGGTAACTTGAGTGTGAAGCCTCTATACGTTGGATTCGTGCCGCAACTTTCTGGTTTGGTTCAGCAGCACGAGCTCAGCCGCAGGGTAAGACCTCTTTATGGACTGGCGTAAGCGATGTACGCTAATGTAATAAAGATCCTCTTCTTAAAAACCTCAACTGTTTTTCCTTTCTCGTTGTTTTTGTCCCATGCTTCGCAATTAATTTATCAGGATAACCATTAGCGCGTAAGGTGGTGATAACGCTTTGTAGTTCTCAATTGATTCTTCCGAACAGGTACGTCGGGCTCTCACAAAAGTAGTACGAACCAACGAACATTTGTAGCTTAAGGGACAGTAGCTGTTGAAATTTAAGTACTGCTCTGTCCAACTCGATTTATAATAAATCAACCTAACTTGTGAGCCATCTGATCTCCTCTCTAGCGCTATATCCAGGAAGTGGAATTTGTCTGATGATTCGTTTTCCATGGTGAATTCGATCTCTGGGTGACAACTGTTGAACGCGTCTAGCATGCTCTCCGCTTGCTGATGGTCATTGACAACCACAAATATATCATCAATGTAACGTACATAAAAGCATGCTTCCCATATGGGCTGACGCAATTTTGTGTTCTCCCTATAAGCAATGAAGATATCGGCTAAAATAGGCCCATCGACTCACCCTCAACTTGTCGGTAGATTTTTCCATCGAAACGTCGATGTGCTGGGATCTTCACTTTATTCGCTTGTCCGCCTATGATGTCTAACGTCTCTTCCAAGGGTACATTTGCAAGTAGTGAACAGACCTCGAAGAACACCATTGGTTTGTTTGCCACATTTAAATTCCTAACGAACTCAAAGGAATCTTTTTGGCTATTCACGGCTAGCTCGCGTCAGCTAGGTTCAATTAGTCGGGCTAGCCATCGCGCCAACTTCCGGTATGGTGTTCCAATCATTGAAAGGATTGGACATATTGGAATCCCTTCTTTGTGTATCTTCGATAGTCCATACATCCGAGGAAGTTTTGAACCACGAGGTCGCAGCTGCGTCTTAGCATCGATCAATCCCTCTTTTTATAGGCTTCACACTTCGCTGATTATAGTCTGTTCAACTTTTTTCCGTTTTCTCACTGCCTGTTTGGTCTTCAACTAGCCGATCCTTATTCATGATCACGAATTGCATTTTCTGCAAGTAGTCCTCTTTGTTCATTACGACAACTCCAGAACCCTTGTCGGGTCTTAGTATCAATACATCATCATATTGACGTAACTGCATCAAGGAAGAAAAATGGTCTTTCGAGACTGTTCGAGACTTTTCTGCCTCCGTAATGAAAAATTGGTTGGCTAGATCCACTGCCTTGGCCTTAAACCAGCTATTCGCATCTGCTGTCACTGGCGTCAAGCTAGAAAGCTGTTCGTGCAGGTCTTCAAACTGTGCCTCAATCGGACTTGATGATACCGAAAAGTTAACACCAAGTGCAGACGACTGAGCTGGACGTCGGATAAAATTATCACGTGCCTCTCTGGGTTCAAGGGGAACCGCTCAATTTGAAATTCAGTAGTAATAAAGTTCAAAATTTGCCGCTTGATCGTCACCCGCGTTTTTACTTGCAGCTCACGACGAAAGTTGTAGAATTTCACACGACAAGCAAGCTTTAGTTCACTCAAGACATGTTCTACACACCCGATCTTGACCTTTAGTTGTGTAGAACGGTAGACAGAAACCTCGATTTATGACTTGGTATAGCGCCGTAAATTTTTCGGATTTACTGGTAGCCTGTCTTCTCAGCGACTTCAACAAGAGGCGTGGATATTGCGACATCCTCGTGCATTCGTTATGGGCATCTATGCGAGCGGCTTTACGAGAAAGGGAGCAGCGCATTGTATTGATTCCTTTTCATTTGCGGTCGTTTAAAGTTTCCGCTATTAGTCTCTTTGCGGCTGAATGAGAATGCGCGAAGTATACTGAATTCAGGATATTCCGCCAACTGAAATGTTTTTCCTTCTCACACTTAAAACTTACACGACAGCTGCAGATGTACTGGAAGAGAATATATTCATGAGAAATATACAGGTGCGAAACACAACGAAACATGCACAATTGTCATTCTGACAACCGCTCGCGCAGCATGCTAATAATTCCTTTGTTTCGACAAACCAACCTTATTTGTAAGGCAAAATATCTTAATGATACGATGAAATGCGGTAAAGTAAAACTTTGAATCTTGGACATGTATGAAAGGAAGATAACCTTTTTAATGTATCACAGTGCAGTGGATGTAATTGGTCGTTTAACACATTGGAAGAAACTTTATTGTTTGTGTTAGGATGTTTAGATATGCCCGATCCAGCTAGTGCATCACTAAGCATGCCACGGTACCTTGAAAAGTGCTCTATTTTCTGAAGCAATCAAGAAAGATGGAAGGAGAGCAGTACAATCAATGAGGGATAGTGCATGGGGTCATGAACTTAAATATTTGACTATGGGATATTGAAAGCATTTTTAGTCTAAGAGCACAAGCGAGTGTTCTATCTTTGTTAAAGATTTCACAAACGTGCTTTGTCTACTAGTGATTTTGAGGCAGAAAGATACCGGTAGATGATCTGAGTGTGGGACTGTCGCACACTATCAGAATGGAGGAAGTATTTGAGGATACCGTCCAATTGGTACACAAAAACTGCATGCACCTGGTTGTATTCGGTTCTCAGAAATTATATTTTGCAGCATTTGTTTATCCAGCCTTCCGAAAACATTTGACTGATCAAAGGAAAGAAGCTTTGCGGATTCAAATCTTTGATCAACTGCGGACCCTATAGAATGAACAAGCCATGTAGTTGTAGCAGAACTCAGTCCTCGTCCACACTTCATCTGCTCAACCAACGCAAAACAGTTCTTTAGTATTTTTAATCTGTAAGTACTCCTTTGAGATACCCATGAGTAGGGGCTTTTTGATGTAACCAATTGGGAATTTGTCGCAGCAGCCTCCATATCAAATAGTCTTCCACATGCAGGAAAAGCACTAGACTGCGTTTTCGACGTTGGTCCTTGTCAATAGTGCGCATCCATCGGCTTTATGAGGATCCGAACCCATGGCCACCAGCGGCTCAAACCTCCTCCGTGTCTTTCGGAGTCAACCCTGTCCTCTGTAACTATTTACTATGGTAAAAAAAACACGTGGGTCTTTCTTAACCCCCAAAGGCTACAGCTAGCTGGCCTCATGCAGACTCCAATGTGACGATATAGTCGCAATCGAACTGGACGTGCTGCCTCCTTCTTTGTATGCCAAACTAGAGTCAAATGCCTTAGATGGAGTCTATTGAGCAAACTACTATTTACCTCACTACATTGTGGGTCATGTGCTTGGGTTAGGATCTAGTGTTGGAGCACCTTGAACAAAACTTCTCTCTCGGAATGGACAGCTGAAGAAGTTCCTCTGCCCACAAGATGACGTCACTAGTAACATTGCTCTCTTCGTTAGTCTGGGCTCATCTTGATTGGTTAGCATTCCCACCTCGGCATCGGCATAACGTAAATAATATAGCGCATTTCTGCAGCCTCTGGACATCTTAGATTATTGTTACTTTTGACGCTTCTGTTTTCTATTCGTTTTCGGAGCACATTAACCCGTCGAAATAATTTGTAACACTCGTAGCCCGGGTTGTTTGCTCACTTGTTGATTGTTTCTCCGAGCTTCGTAAAGGGATTGCATACGTTTCGCCACTATGCGAGGTAGCATCTTCAGTGCGGTGATATGCAGTGTACAATCTTGCTTATTGAATCGTCAGTCCGTGATCGACGGACATCAACCCGTGTTGCGTGCAGAACGAGATCACGATTTTTCTACCAGTTATTGCTGTACTCTTCCTAAAGCCGAGGGTCCTAATGCCGACTTAACTACGTTGAAAATCTGGAAACGCTCGCTTGTTGTTTAACCTATGAAATCAAGAATCGAAGAGGGACGTAAGAGATGAGAACAAAAGCTAGGATACATCTGTCTTATTGAGCCCTCACTTATTCGTCCCAGCTATATGCAGTTACGATGTGTGAGGCCCACATTCACCTTCAATCTGTTGTGCTTTTGTGTAACTTTGTTATGTGATTGTCGCGCTTTGTTTGTACAGTTGTTCTCTGTTAGATACCCCAACTTAAAATACTTGAAAGGATTCGAGATTAACTAGTAACAATTTCTCACACTTTCTTCACGAACCAATACTCTGCGCCTTTATCGAACATACTGCACCTTATCTCTATGCTCACTGGAGACAATTGATGGTCACTGGTCACATATTCGCCAGACCTTACTAGCAGCGGGCAAATCCTCATGTGGTATGTCTAATAGCCAACATGGACATTGGGTCTCTTCTCGGTCTTTGGAACTTATCTACGCTCGCCGGCATATCCCCGCTGGAAGCGAGCACAATGAACTCGCAAAGAGCTCCGGGCAAAACTCCGCGCTAGCGTGAAGAGAGACCGCGAATCTTGGTGGTCTCATCGTGCTTCAAAGATGGAAGTGGCCGCTGCCCTTGGCAACCATCGTAAGTTATTCTGTCTTATACGGGAAACGGGCAGCAGGAGACCTGGTGTTAGTGAAACAATTTGTGATGAGAGTGGACAGCCTATCCACAATTTGTCAAAACGTTTGGAGCGTTGGGCTGAGCACTTTGAAAAGCAATTTAATCGGCTAGGATCGTTCGACTCGCCGGTCGCTGATCGCCCTGCTCCGTGGGCTGTCCCTTTGAATCCACCCTCTTGCTCAGAAGTCGAACGTGAGATCGGACTGTTGAAGTTGAACAAAGTCGCGGGACCAAATGCTCTTCATCCAGCCCTCTTCAAATTCGGAGGCTCTGCTCTTGTTGATGCTTTACTAGTGAAACTGTGGGAGCAGTAGACTGTCCCAACCGACTGGAGCAGCTCCGTTATTGTTCCCATCTTCAAAGGCGGCTCACGATCGGAATGCGGCAACCATAGAGGAATCAGTCTGATCTCCATCGCCTCCAAATTACTCGCCTCCATAATTCTTCACAGACTGACTGGCGCTCGTGAAAGCCAGATTCGTGAGGAGCAAGCCGGGTTTGGTCGGGGTCGTGGCTGCATCGACCACATCTTCACCTTGCGTCAGTTGTTGGAGCACCGCCACACATATTGGCGACCCACCGTAGTCGTCTTCCTCGACATCAAAGGTGCCTTCGATTCGGTTGATCGATGTGCCCTTTGGAATTGTCTGCTCAGGAAAGGTGTGCCCGAGAAATATGTTAATATATTCTCCAAGCATTATATGCGCGTAGCACGGGCAGAGTGAGGGCTTGCGGCAAACTGTCGCCACTCTTCAATATCTCCGGCGGGGTGAGACAAGGATGCCCGCTGTCACCTTTCCTCTTCAACTTCGCTATTGACGAAGTCATGAAGTTTGCATTTACAGAACATGACTTTGAAGGTGTGGAGCTACTCCCAGGAGAACGACTTTTTGACTTGGAGTATGCAGACGACATTGCCTTCATCTGTGACTGCGCCCAGACGTGCCAAGCGGTGCTGGACAGATTAGCACAGGCTGTCAGCCGCTTCGGGCTTTGCTTTGCACCATCGAGGTGCAAAGCGTTCCTCCAAGATTGACAGGGATCGCCTCCTGCGCTGACCCTTGTTGGGGATCAGCTAGAAGTCGTTCAGCAATTCAATTACCTGGAAAATGGAATCCGCGCCCTCGGGGTCGAAGACGAAATCACGAACCGTATAGCGAAAGCTCGAAGTGCTTTTGCTAACCTTCGCCACCTATGGCGGCGGCGCGACATCACTCTCTCCCTGAAGGGTAGAGTGTACAATGCAGCGGTACGTTCGACGTTACTGTAAGGTTGCGAAACCTGGCCCCTAAGATCGGCGGACATGAAGAGGCTAGTTACGTTCGACCATCGGTGCCTTCGCAGTTTGGCTCAAATCTGGTGGGAACACCGCATGAGTAACGAGCGTGTTCGACGCCTTGTTTACGGCCCAGGAAAAGGATCTGAACCGCTCAGCACCTTTATTTCCCGCACCAGGCTCCGATGGCTCGACCGCGTGTTACGCATGCCAGTCCACCGACTCCCTCGACGAGCGTTGTTTGCTCACCGGGGATGTGGGTGGAAGAATAGGAGAGGTGGCCAGGAGATGACTTGGTCCAAGGGAATGAAGTCCCTCACTTCGGAGCTAGCCTCGGTTGGAGCGTCACGGCTCCCTGGTTGGGATCCAAAAGACGGTGAACACGTTTGGCTGGATACACTTGCTGACATGGCAAGGAGCCGACCTCAGTGGTGTTTGTGCTGTGAGTTTCTTTGTCCCTCCCCATCCCTTTTAGTCTCCCTCTCCATGTACCATCTATTTCCTAGGGTAAAACATAAGAATTTTTTTCTTTTTGCCTAGTAGCTGGCTGCTAGCTTACCGGAACGATGCCTATGCGTTGCTGGTAGCTCAGCTGGCATGCAACTGTTGTATCTATTTTTCCTCTGTGTATTGGATTATATGTATGTATTTCTTTCATGTATGACGGAACAATAGCGGAGGTGTTTTCCCACCTCTGGCTGATGTGTATAATAATGACGAATGCATCTCTATGTATTCAGTCGCTGAATTCTTATCAGCATCCTTATTTTAGATGGTAAGCACTTGAATAACTCCAATTAACATTAGACTGATGTACATCTACATACCTAATCCACCAGTAGAAGGATTTCCATGTTTGTTAATCTTTCGTTCTCTCATTTGCCGTCATGTTTTGTTTCTTATTTAACTTGCTTATTCGCTTCTTTTCAGATTGGAGCTATCACCGCCATGGCCCAGATCGGTAGCTTTGTGCCATGTTCATTCGCAGAGCTTATCCCGGTTGATGCTATAATGGCCCGAATTGGAGCTGCTGATTGTCAAGTCCGTGGTGTATCCACGTTTCTTGCAGAGATGTTGGAAACTTCTTCAGTCTTACAGGTGTGATATGAGGCATATCCGTGCTTTTTGTCTTTGTTTTAATACTACCTAAGGTGCTTATTCGTGCTTGTTTTCACCTTTTTATTAGTTTTTAATATGATTTGTTTTGCTGTGCTTCTTGGGATTTGGCCTTCACCATTGCTGTGATATTGCGTTTCCTAGAGCGCAGGTCAACGACCCTCTCTTTTGGAGGTTCAAACAAAACTACGCCCCAAAGCTCAGGACAACCCGATGCCCAGTGGCCAAATTGTAACATTCAAGAAACGCATCGATCAACAGACTGGTGTTTATCTGAGCTCAACACCCTTTGTCAGTCTGACTATAACGGTTCGTGTCAGCGCAATTGACTCGCCTTCGTGTCCAATACACTCCCTTACTGTGAGTATTTCGGCCCTAGCAGTTCGACAAAGCGGCACTTTGTTCTAGGGTTAAGGGGATTTTGCTGATTCTATAACGCTATGTCTGTTCAAAAATCAATCAATGTCTCGCTACATCGCTCTCTGTTTAGCTTTTCTTTGACATTTATCACTTGAGGGCTGTGGAATGTAACCGTCATCATCCTATTTTCTCACCGTGATTGTGCTGTCGGTCCTCTCTTTTTCTTTCCAGTCCGCAACTCCTAATTCCCTTGTCATCATAGATGAATTAGGTCGTGGGACGTCTACGTACGACGGCTTCGGTCTAGCCTGGTCTGTCGCTTCTCATTTAGCCGGTTCGGAACTTGGCTGTTTCAGTCTATTCGCCACGCACTTTCACGAACTCACCAGCCTGTCACACCAGATGCCCGGACGCGTGGCAACCTTTCGTGTGACGGCTCAGGTGGCGCAGTCTTTTGGAGGCAGTGATAGTATGGAATCTTCCGACACTGCCGATGTTATCATGTTATACAAAGTGGAACCTGGTAAGACAATTACTTCCGGATTTATGCCATTTTGTTACTTACCATCATCTTCCCACCACATTCACCTCTACGCCTTTAGGTGTTTGTGATCGAAGTTACGGTCTCGAGGTTGCTCGGCTTGTCGGTTTACCTCAGTCCGTGATTGAAGACGCCGCGAACAGAGTAAATCGTGCCGAAAGCATTGAGTCGCTGTGGCTTAAACTGTGTTGTCTACACCCTCCTGAACACCATGAAAACCATCATGGAAAGCGGTCTCGGCTATCCAACGAGGCGGACCATGTGAGCCTGTGTTCTATACAATTGCTTTACATTCGTTGACATTCATCCTTTCTAGCGAACTGTTGGAATACACTGGTCAACTCTTCCTTAGACTCATACCTTGTTAGGATTAGTGGTGATTTCAAGTTGCCTTCTCAAACTTTAGACCTCTATAGGTTAGATTCTGCCTCCTTACATCAGCCATTCCTTCACATATATTGTGTAAGCATAATGTGAACATGGTAGTATGGATGGCTGGGTCTAGTGATAAGTATCCGTTGCCCCATCTGCCTGTATCCTGTCCACCTTTACTGATTATCGGATGGCGTCCTCCGTGCTACATTGCGAACCATCCGTGAGCATTCGGCTCTTCAGATATTCCTAGCTACAATACTAAAACAGCTCGAGATAGTTGTGTCAATATTCTTATCATATATTATGCAAACATCCCACCAAATTTACTTTCCTCAACTCAACCGTTAATTACGTTCACGTAGCCCTTGTTGTATAACAACGCGTGATTGCGCACCTCTTTTCTACTTTTTGGTCTTATCTTTCCCATTTTTCTCGTCTCGGATTACAAATACTGCTGTTTTTGTCTGGAAATGCTGGCGATTGGAAATTCTGTAATGTCGATCGAACGGCACAGGCCAGACCGAGAAGAAGTGAGCATGTTACCGGAAGCAGATTGGTCAGCCAATCATTAAATACTTGGCCCGTAATCGCCTCCACCCTGCAACTATCCGCTGAACGTGCAAGTGACCAATCAGGCGTCAGCAGGCGAAGGAGCGCATACTTGAGTACACTTTAGCCAAGGCTTGTGGCATTGCGACCGAACGAAGAAGCGCGCGAGCCCAATCCTGCCAATCGTACATCCATTAAGGAAGCCAAAGTGATTTTAGCGAGAGTAAATGTAGCGAGCAAGCATCAACCAATGGAAAGGGAGCCAGCAACACAAAGCTAATAACAGTGATGAGCCATTGAGACGGACTGTTGTAAATAGTGTATATGCTCTATAAATATTCGAGCGTAATCTTAATAAGTGACTTCGTGATCGCGGCCCAGTCTTCTAGCTTCCCGTAGGGCTACACGACATGACGACAGTCGAGAAGAAGCCGATGCGCCGGAACCCGCTCGTTTTTGGTGGACAGCCGTCAGTCACACTGCCGACCGCTCTGCAGGTGACTGAAAGCATGCTGCCTGGGTACCGAAGAATGTGAAAGCCGAAGTGGAGGGATTTTCTCAACCTGACCCAGTTGGATACTCAACCAATGGCGTACCAGTTTTCGATGTTTAGGCACGCTGTGGGTGATGAAGCCAGGTGGGTGCTTGAAACATTGGAGCTCAGTGTGGCAGGTGAGGAAGTCTAACTTTCGGAAGTGCTGAGAAGATTCGGGGCGTTTTGCGAAGGAGAAGTAGATGAAACGTATCAGAAGTTTTTATCTTTTTCGTGATCGATCCCCAAGAGAATGGTTCGAGACTTATATAACAAAACTGAAACTGTTGGCGCGTAACTACAACTTCTGCAATTGCATGCGAGACTCCTTGATATGTGATCGTATTGTCATTGGCATAAAGAATGTTGAGCGCACGCGGTGCCATCTGAGACAAAGGAACCTGTCTTTGGAACAATGTATGGACGTCTGCTTGAGTGAAGCAAGGGCGGCGCAGCAGTTCGAGCATGTGAGAGACGAAACAAACACCGATCTGTGCGCGGTATCCCGAACCAACAATAGTCCGCCCCAGACACCCGAAGGACAGGGTGCGAGTTGTCAGTTTTGCGGTCGTGTACATCCAAGAAGAAAGGAGAGCTGCCCAGCTTGGGGTCGAACGTGCCCAAAATGTTCCAAGAAGAACTGTTTTGCTCGCTGTTGCAGATCCGCTGAGGCCAGTCCAGTAGTCGAGAGCATCAACGAATAGTTACAAAAATTTTCGGTAAACAACTTGGAAAATCGTGGAGAACACAAGTGTGTTTTCGCGACACTCTTGATTCGAGGACGACCGGTGCGCTTCCAACTGGACTCGGGGGCTACTGTCAACATCCTACCTGCAAAGCCCTTTGTGGGAATAACATATGACAGAACACAGAACTGCCTCATAATGTGAAATGATTCGAAGCTATTGCCGAAGGGTACCGCCACGTTGAAGGCCATCAATCCGAAAAACGGCACAGGACACCAACTTGATTTCCTGATAGTCTCAGGAGATCTTATGCCCATTTTGGGTATTTATTCTATTCAAGGTCTCGGTTTTGTCTCTTTTAACCATAAAAACTTCTTCCATTCGTGTGGAACTAATATAAATATTGTTGACAGCTATCCAAGCGTGTTTGACGGGGTCGTAGGGAGATTCGAAGTGTGTGCTCATTTATCTTTAATCGAATCCACTAAGCCGGTAGTGTTGGCGACCAGATAGGTGCCTATTGCCTTACGTGAGACCATTTTAGACAAGCTGCAGCGTCTTGCTAGTATGGGTGTAGTAGCCAAAGTTGAGGAGCCGACAAATTGGGTTAGCCAGGTGGCGATCGTTACTAAGACCTCTGGAGAACTACGCGTGTGCATTGATCCGAAACCACTTAACGCCGCACTCAGGAGGGAGCATTATACACTACCAACGTTAGTCGACGTACTTCTGGTGCTATCCAGAGCTAGTATTTTCACTTGCTTCTGCGTTTTGGCATGTATTACTTGACGAAGAGTCAAGCTACCTGACCACGTTTGGGACACCTTTCGGGCGTTTCCACTGGCTTCGTTTACTGTTTGGACTGAAGGTACCTAGCGAGATATTCCAGAAACGACTGGTGCAGGCTTTAGACGATTTATCAGAAACGTTCTGTGTAGCAGACGACGTTTTGGTTTTTGGCGCAACGCCAGAGGAGCACGACCAGGACCTTCACCGATTTCTGCAGCACTGTTTTGAAAGGAACATCAAGCTGAAACGAGAGAAGAACGAGTTGTGTAGGACGGAAGTGGTGTTTCATGACCACGTGCTAGGCTCCGAAGGACTGCAACCAGACCCAGGGAAAGTCAGGGCCATCGAACAGATGTCTCCTCCTACTGACGTGAAAGCCGTTAGCAGGCTGATTAGCCGATGTAGTGGTACCGATTCGAAAACGGACGCATAAAAGTGAGAAATGGCATTGGGACGCGGAGCAGGAGAGAGCATTTCAGACAATGAAGTAATTAATTACATGCGCCCCCGTTCTCGCTTACTATAACCCAGCACTCCTGCTCGAGATCCAGTGGGACAGCAGTCAGTATGGTATCGGAGCCGTACTCATGCAGAACGGTAAGTCTATAGACTTTCGCAGCCGGACGCTGACAGAGACCGAGCGTCGTTACCCGCAAATAGCGAAAGAAATGCTTGCATTGGTTTACGCCGTGGCATGGTTTAATGACTAGACCTTTGGTCGCAAATCCACCGACTTTACAGACCACGAGCCCCTTGTGTCGATCGCCAGCAAGCCGCTCCATGTTGTTCCACGCCACCTGCAAAGAATGCTTATTCGTTTGCAGAAGTATAATCTAGAGATTTCTACTGCCAAGGATCCCAGGTGCACATTACGGACACGTTCACAAGAGCGCATCTGTCAAACACGCCAGGAATGGAAGAAGACCCAGCTTTTGTCCATGTAACACAGCTGATCGCCCTCACTGAGAAACGCTTGCACCATCTTCAACCAAACACTGAGAAGAACGAATTGTGTAGGCTACTGATGCATACGATCACGAATGGATGGCCCGAAGACAAACAAAAGTTACCATAGGAGCTGACTCCATTCTTCCATTTTTGTGACGAACTCATTACTCAGGATGGGTTAATATTCAAAGTTAACAAGGTGGTGGTTCCAAAGGCACTGCAGCGTTCGATGCTGGAGCTGATACATTGTGCACATTTAGGAACTAATGGCCGCGTGGCAAGAGCTAGAGAGCCGTTGTTCTGGCCCGGAATGACCAGCCAAATACGTGACTACGTCTCCAATTGTGTAGCATGCAGAGTACATGAAGTACGCCAGCCCAAAAGAACTGATGATGCTACGTGCCGTTCTTGATAGACCCTAGCGGATGGTTGCACTAGACATTTTTTCTCTCGATGGAAGGAACTATTTGGTTGTGGTAAATTATTTTAGAGACTACTTCGAGATCGATGCGATTACGACGACTAGTACACAGTCCGTGGTGAACAAGTTGCGGGTGCCAATTCGCTCGGCATGGAATATTCGAGGTGGTGATCTCAGACAACGGACCGCAATTTAGTATTGCAGGGTTTCGTGCGTCCAGCAAGAAGCGGGATTTTCGTCACCGGCTAACCATCCCATACCATAGCCTATCAAAAGGTAAGGCTGAGTCCGCAGTGAAGGAGTCGAAGAAAGTGCTTACAAAAGCGAAGGAGACCCAGCAAGATCCGTACATAAGGCTACTGGATCGAAGGAATACACTATCTACTGATATCGAAGCGAGTCCTGCACAGCGTCTATTTAGTCGCCGAACAAGAACGCTAATATCGACCGCTGCAATTCTACTGCGGATCGAGATAGTGCCGTCCGATGTCCTACATGACCGACTACGAAGAGAATGTTAAGGCAAAAAGGTACTATGATCGCGGATCGAAAAGCCTTCCCGCACTAGGTACAGGAGAAGTGTGGGTGCAGCCATTACCGGAATCCGGTGGATGCTGGCGGAAAGGAGTGATCGAAAGCCGGAAGAGTGAGAGGAGCTATGAAGTGAAGGTTGGGGGCAATCTCATTCGACGGAATTGGGTGCAACTGAGAAGAGTGCGTCAGAAGTGGACACCGCAGAGAGAGGGTCAGCAACAACAACCGGGGAAAAATACTGCTACCCAAGCACACGACATTAAACGCACACGGGGTGGTAAGCAATACGGAACATATTGTAACGCCATTCTGAAAAAACGTAAAAGGAAAAGATGTGATGGAGATGGAAATGCTGTAATGCCGATCGAACGGCACAGGCCAAACCGATAAGGAGTGAGCATGTTGCCGAAAGCAGATTGGTCAGCCAGTCAGGAAATGGCCCGTAATCGCCTCCACCCTACAATTATCCGCTGAACGTGCAAGTGCTTTTAACGAGAGTAAATGTGGCGAGCAAGCATAAACCAATGGAAAGGGAGCCGGCGACAAAATGCAAATAACAGTGATGAGTCATTGAGACGGACGGTTGTAAATGGTGTATATACTGTACAAATATTCGAGCGTAATCTTAATAAATGACTTCGTGATCGCGGCCCAGTATTCTTGCTTCCCGGAGGGCTACACGACACTGTCTGTACCGAAACGATTCTTTCTGCTCTTATTTTCCCTCGCTTTATGTTGCAGTCCAAACTTGTTTCATTGTCTCACTTCTTAAAGTTTCCGGCTTGTTCTTGATTTCATTGTGTGTTGCTGATATGTTTTGATGTGACCTTTTTATTTCCGCATTGATAACTAGCCCTGCTGTTGCACACGTACTTTTGTCCTTCAGTCTATCCTCGTTGCGTGTTACGTGTGAATAGGTTATGTATCTTTCGTCATTTTTGCTTGTCTTCTAAAATGTTTCCAATCCAATGTTTCCAACTTTCAGTCAGTCGATGTGGTGGATCAACTAAGAGCCACTCTTATATCTCTACTGGAAACGGCACTTTCGCATGAAACACCAGCGATTCATTCCAGCGAGTTCGGTATTCGATTGGCGCATTTGGCTCGTGACGTACTGGCCAGTTCGGAAAACGCTTTCCCTAAAGAACTCCTCTGAGCATTTATTTAATCATTTAGTAAGAAACAACCTCTCTACCTTATTAAGAAATATTCTATTTTTGTTATGAATAAAGTCCTACTTCACCATTATAAACGTTTCTTCTGCAGTCGCGTCATTGATTGTGCAGTCACTTGTCGTAGTACCAGATTTAATGCAAAGCCAAAACCTACCCACAACTTTTCTCGACCTCTAAGATTACAGCGATCTCTTAAGTACAGTCCTACGCACACAGCTCCTTTCATGAGGAATGAGGCTGAGGATTACCAACCTGTTGCGCTGTATGTACAGTATCCTAAATAACGACCGGTCTTCGTATACCCTCTTCTTCCCTCTTAGTTCGATCGATCATAGCTATTTTTATCGCTTCGTTCTCTGCGCCTGCATAGGTCATTACTGCGCATTTATCCTTTGACATGGATATGATAAGTATAGCATTATTATGCCCGTTCCCTCGACTCTTAAATGAGATTTTCCTATAAGAGCTTTCTTGAATGATTCAATGATTTCGTTGATTAAATATTCACTGTCATTCTAGTCAAGCGGGAACTAACTCATAACTCTGCCGGCTAGGCGGTTCGGGTTCTTCCCGTTCCAGCGAATGGTTCGGTGGCAGTGTTCCAGGATGTGGTGGGTTTTCGCCTGGCAAGCGTTCTTCCTATAAAAAGCCACAAATATCCGTTTAACAACACTGCGACGTGGCGGATGTGATTCGCCACTAAACAAAGTCACTGCCCCTTGCCCCTCCCTGAGAGGCATTGTACTTCAAGGGTGCGTTGGGCTCCTGGTCCTTCACGGACCGAAAGACGTACGAACCATCTATTTGGTCACCGGCTCCCAACGGGTTGCGACGCCGTCACATCGCCCTGCTGCCTTGTAGGTTAGATCTTTGATCAGAGGCTCGGGGTAGGGCCCCCTAAGGCAACCCTCTACTTCGGCCTGGGCAACCGGGTAGTATCACGCCCACTGACGAATCATGGACCACACCGCTTACTACTGCTACTGCTATGCCTATCTTCTGTGTTAACTCAACCGCTCAACCTCCACTCACAGATCACCCACCTTCCGTCATTCACCCACATGTACTCTGATGTCTTCTACGGTCACCGTCACAAACGACCCACGTCTCGCAGCTGATGGAAGTAACAGCCAAACTCCCGATTTTCAGCGTCCTGCGATCGCAACCGCCTCTCACTCCACCGAAGCTCCAGCTCTTCTTCGACCTGGTTCTCCATTCATCCCCGCAGCGTTTAATGTTCGAACTTTGATGCAGATCGGACGACAAGCATGTCTGGCCCGTACTCTTGAAACGCTTTCGGTAGACATCTGTTGCCTTTCAGAGACCAGATTACAAGACTCTAGCGCCGTCATCAGAATGGCCTCTCCGGTAAACTCTGACGCCAAATACTACTTGCGGCTTTCCGGAGACCCAGAAGCTGCCGCCACTGGTCAAGCTGGTGTTGGGGTTGTACTGAGTGCCAGGGCTGAATCAGCTCTGCTTGACTGGATCCCAGTCAACAGCCGACTATGTGCAGTCAGACTAAGAGGTTCATGTAACGTAAGCAGGCGTCGAGACGTTAAGCGTGCCTTGTTTGTCGTCTCCGCCTACGCCCCTACAGACTGCAGCCCGGATGCAGTTAAAGATAGCTTTTATCAACAACTACATGAACTTCTGCGTTCCTCCAAACGGACTGATATAGTCATTCTTGCCTGGGACTTTAACGCACGGGTTGGCCGCCTTCCACCAAGCGAGCACCACCTTGAGGGTAGTTTTGGTCTCGGTGGCGGTCGATCAGACAATGGAGACAGACTGCTTGCTCTTTGCTCTGATCATCGCTTGTTTCTTTCGAGCACTAGTTTTCGTCACTCGAGGAGACACTGCTACCTGGCGCCTGCCCTCACAAACGCAAGAGTGCTCCCAGCTTGACCACAATGCAATCAGCTACAGATGGCGCGGAAGCGTAACGGATTGCCGATCGTACTGGTCAACTTTTCTAGACTCCGATCACGCATCTGTTCGTGCTAAGATTTGCATGCGTTTCGGAGGATCACCTAAGCGCACCCACTACCGACCGGACGTGGCGAATCTACAAAACCCTGCGATTTTAACCAGGTACCAATCCTCACTGTCAACCTTGCTTGGCTCAACTATTGACGGTGATCTCGATTCGCAGTGGGCGCATATCACAGATGCTTTAGTTTCCGCCAGTATCGACACTTGTGGAGTTACCCGTCACCCACCGAAGCATTGGATTTCCGCCAACTCCTTGTCGCTGATTGACAAACGCCGCTTGCTCCCATCAGATTCCAGACACAGTGAAGAACGCCAGTACCTTGGTCGAGAGTTGCGCAGGAGTCTGCAAATGGACCGCGAAGCTTGGTGGTGTGAACATGCTAGGGAGATGGAGCTTGCTAGTCTCTCTGGTAATACCAGAAAACTCTTCCATCTCATTCGAGTCACCGAAGGTGTTCGATCTGGTATAAGTGAAACAATATGCAAAGAGGATGGCACCTTAATCACCAATCTTCAACGACGGTTTGAGCGATAGGCCAAACACTTTGGCCCCCAGCTCCATCTGCTACCTCTGGCACTCGCGCTGGGGCCGAGTGGTCTACCCCCACAGACCCTCCCTCTTCCCAGGAAATCGAGCAGGAGCTCCGGCACATGAAGCGTTATAAAGCCCCCAGCCCTGATGGTCTTCCTCCAGCTCAATTTAAAGATGGTTGCGCTTCTGTGGTTCGAGAACTCACCACTTTCTTCTCGAAAATTTGGTCGAAAGAGGAAGTTCCATCATCTTGGAGTGAATCGATAGTCGTCCCCATCTTCAAAAAGGGCCTGCGCACAATCTACTCCAACTACAGAGGAATAAGTTTAGTCCCCGTCGTTTGCGACCTGCTGGTGTCCATCATACTTCGCTGGCTATCCCTAACACGCGAATCGTTGCGACGAGAAGAACAAGCTGGGTTTCACCCTGGTCGCGGTTGCATCGATCAAATCTTCACACTTCGCCAGATCCTCGAGCTCCGCCATGTGTATCAGAGGCCAACGATTGCTGTGTTCCTGGATATCCGTGCAGCCTTTGGTTCTGTCGATCGTTCAGTACTGTGGCACTGTTTGCTGAGGAATGGTGTCCCCGAGAATTTCGTCTCCATACTGCGTGCTCTATGTAGTCTGACCTCGGGCAGGGTTAGGGCTTATTGCGTGCTTTCGCCTACCTTTGTGGTCTCCAGTGGAGTTCGACAAGGATGCCCTATCTTTCCGTTCCTATTCAACTTTGCCATTGAGGATGTCTTGAAGAACGCCTTGGGCGATTCGTTGAATGCTGGCGTTGAGCTCCTCCCAGGTAGTCGAATTGTTGATTTGGATTATGCTGATGATATCGTTTTGCTGGGTGACGATCCACAGGTCGTCCAACTTGCATTAAACCGTTTGACGATTGAAGCATCAAAGTATGGTATGTACTTTTCGCCATTCAAATGCAAGGCTCTCTTCCAAGACTGGCAGGTGCCTCTGCCTGCACTCACTCTTAGTGGTGAGACACTAGAGGTTGTGGAGAGCTTTGTCTATTTGGGAAGTTGCATCACTGCTGGCGGGGCTGTTGGAGACGAGATTTCGATGCGCATCTCGAGAGCAAGCCTCACTTTTTCTAGGCTGAGGCATTTGTGGCGTCGCCACGACATTCGTCTCTCCATCAAAGGGCGGGTCTATTGTGCAACTGTTCGTGCTGTACTGTTGTACGGATGCGAGACCTGGTCCATTCGTAAAGATGACTTGCGCAGGCTATCCGTCTTCGAGCACCGCTGTCTGCGGTCCATTGCCCGTGTGTGGTGGCAGCAGCACGTAAGCAATGTGGAAGTTAGACAGCGTGTCTTGGGACGTTGAAGCCACTCGCTCGAAGAGCTCATCTCACTGCATCAAGTGCGGTGGTTCGGACACGTATTGCGCATGCCTGTCCAGCGTTACCCCCGTTGTGCGTTGTTTGCACTTGCTGGACAGGGCTAGAAGAGACGGTCTGGTGGACAGCCTACAACATGGAGAAGCCGCATGAAAAAGGTGACGAAACAGTTGGCCTCGGCCGGTTGTTGTCGACCACCCGGTTGGAGTCCGAGAGATGCAGATACTTGCTGGTTGAAGACCTTGCAAGCCATGGTTCATGATCGATGTCAATGGCGGACGTGTGCATCGGTTTGCTGTGGTGTCCCTTCTTCCTCCTCCTAAAAAAGAACAAATTTTAAAAAATTCAAAAACTGTGAGTGGTAAAATAGACAGAAAAAGCTTTTGTTGTTGCTCTTTTCTTATTATTCATACTGTTTTCCTATCCAGCCATGCTTTCCATGGCACAATATCGGTACCACAGATTGTGTCCTGGACACCTCCTCGTAGCGACCGCTGGGTGGGAGTTGGGTTTCGCCTTTCTCCCTGCTAAGATCCGGGACACCAATCCGCATGAGTCAGTGAACTGACTATGTGCTAGACCCGTTGCCTTTCGGGTGTACATTTAATCGAAGGCTTTGGCTGAGGACCCGAGTCGTTCTCCTGTCGGGCTTGGGCGCCCTTCCAGTATCCTAGTTCATCCTCTTCGGAGGTTAGGAACTGGTCGATAGCCCACTTCCCGTAAAACCTAGCCATGGGAGACAACAGGTCTAGGGGTTATAAGCTCACAGCTCGATTGGCGTAGAGCACGAGCGCCACGCATTGTCTCTGACGGTGGAAGAGCACCTCCGGGTGTTCAATGGTTTGCTACTGTCCGCCTCAAGCCAGGTAGCCCCTGGTCAAATTGGTGCCAACCCGCCAAAACCCACCTGCGTCTGGCCGTGGTCGCCAGGGGCGTATCCTACTACGGTCGCAAAACATATATGAATCGTTCCAGTACCTCAAAGGCTGCGTGTGACGGCCGTCAAGTAGATCACAATCTATATCTGCAATCACCTTCCCGAGCTGGATCTGCTCCCCAATGTCTCGTGGGTAAGGCTATTGAGGCAAAGTCTCCGGGTGGAGTCCCTCAAGCAAAACTCCGATGCACAACGACCACCTCGCGTGCGATTGCCCACCAATGCAATCGTATGCCTGCGCGCAAAGCACTCAGCATCGGA